CAAACACTGGCCAAAATTAGCGCTCAATTTAGTTTTTTTACTTTTTTCACACACAAACAAATATGAATGCTTACTTTGGCCAGTGTTTTCGACTAAGTGGCTACTAAAAAAGACTGGACATGCCCCATATTGAATACCCTGGGTTGTCTACTTTAAAAAAAATATGTACATGTGGGGTGTTATTCAGAGATTTATGACAGATAATAGTGTTACAATGTCACTATTGATAAATTTTTAAAATGTATGTTTTTAAACCGCAATATCCTACTTGTACCTATAGCCCTATAACATGCAAAAAAAAGTAAAAAAGCACGTAAACACTAGGTATTTTTAAACTCAGGACAAAATTTTGAATCTATTTAGCAGTTTTTTTCATTCGCTTTTGTAGATGAGTAAAAGATTTTTCAAGTAAAAGTCAAAAAACATGTATTTTTTTCAATTTTTCATCAGATTTTTGTATTTTTTTTAAATTAAAATACATGAGATTATATAAATAATGGTATGTAAAGAAAGCCCATTTTGTCCTGAAAAAACAATATATAATTTGTATGGGAACAGTAAATGAGAAAGCGGAAAATTACAGCCAAACACAAACACCACAAAAGTGTAAAAATATTCCTGGTCGCAAATGTACAACATCGCAAAAACAGTCCAGTCCTTAAGGGGTTAAATACTCATGGTAGTTACGTTGGGATAAATTGATTTTGATCTTTTTTTTTAATTGGAGGTATTTGCCCAAGAACCACATTTAGTCCCCTATCAAGGAAATTACTTCCTACACATGCCACAATAAATAAGTTTACATATATGCATAAAACTGTTTTGTTTCTACTTTGTTCCTAGAATTAACCATCCTTAATTGTGATAGTGAATCTATATTGAACTGGCATATAGCTGGCTTGACTGTGGTAGCACATTTAAAGGGAATCATTCTCCATGTTGTATTTCTATCTTCCCTTTACTCTATCGGTAATGCCCCTTAGAATTGCTCACATGGCTTGGGATCACTATACTGCACCTGTAAACAAGAGGCTTGGCTGGGATAGCTCCACCCATATAACTGCTTATGTTAGAGAATCCTTACAATGGGTCTGGTCTACAGACAGCTGGGGCTGCTGTGGTAGCACCTTATGGGGAGAGGAGAGACCTACATAATTAAAACAAGATTATTTATTAGTTCTATTCAGAGGCAACAGCTGCTTATTAATGGAACAATCCAAGCACCATAACTACAGCCTGCTGAGGTTCAGCTCTGAGCCAATGAGTCGCTCTGTATGGCAGGACTTCGCTCAATGGCGTTAACTGAAGCTCCTTTCAGGTGCGTCCGGTCAGGTGGCAACTGGGATCTGGTGGACCCCAGGTAAGTTGTCGCACTGTTCTCAAAAGGTTTGACTACTTACCCGGTAAGTGTGTCAGAGCACTCCAAGCAACATAATCAGGCTATAGTGGTTATGGTGCTTGAAGTGTTTCTTAAAGAATGTCCCTATGAAAATGGTCCTCTCTGGGCATATTATTATTATTATTATTATTATTATTATTATTATATCTATAGCGCCAGCAAATTCCGTAACGTTCCACAATATCACTCTCACCAATGCCCCATAAGTAAATTAAGACAGATGGGGTGAAAATATTTATTAAGGTAAACATGTGCAATCTTGGGGTTTTGCAATTATTCACAAAGCACTTGACATCTGATTTTGTAATGAATCCAGTACATTTTGGTGGCATTATTTTCCATTAATGCCCACCTTGCACTTCTGCATCCCATCTCTCTCCTTTTTGTTTACTCTCACGCTCTTTCCTTCTGTTGTTTACTCTCGAGAGACACATGCACATATAATTCAAAATTCAATGTCGTACATCATCTTCATATGTATTTCATGTAGGAACTTGAGAAATGTCCACTTTAGGCACTGTCATTCCAAGAATTCATGTTTGTACAATTCTGCATGACATGCAAATGACAAACATCAGACTTTACCCACAATTTCTGCTGGCACCCTTAGCAGCGGATGCTGTTTTAATTTATGGAAATATGATTTTTTTTTTGGTGGGGGGGGATTACTGTGCCCAAGATCCTATTTCAGAGATGTATGCATGTGTGCAGATATATGTATATAATGTATTTATTTCTCAAGCTGTCTGTCGATCGGTGCTTGTATATAGTTGTTGGCTCAGATAACGCCTCCCTTAGAATTACACATGTGGCAGTATTGCTATTCTATGTTTGTAAACAGCTGGTGTAACTGAGCTTTCAATGCATCATGTCAGTGGGGATTCTCTTAAATAAAGAATAAGGTGTTTCTGTGGCACTTGCTGTGCTAAAGAAACCAAACCATTTCAGAGAGGATGAGGAGGAGGAATGACGTTATGTTTAATTGGTGTCTTACTGTTGTGACCCACCCGAGAAGGAGGATGGGGTTGGCTGTGACACCTGCATGTTTGGGAAGGGCAAGGCTAAGTCTTATTCTAATTATTCCGTCTCCCAGGGGGGAAGGGGGAACAGGTTGTAATTAGCCTCAGGAAGGACAGTAGGAATTTACAACTCCACCCTCCTGTGTCTGTATTAACCCTTTGAATGCTGAATTATCTTTTCTGAGCCTTGCAGTACTGTATGTTGAGTATTGCTATGTTTCGCACTGACTACTGTCCAGACATGTTTCATTGCATTGAATTGTATAAAATAAGCTTTTTAAACACACTCCAGGTTCTCGAGCTGCAGTCAGATATACGTTCTGCTCTGCTGATTTTGCATTTACTTGATTCAGATGCCAGATTCAAGGTTGCCTAACTCTTTAGTCAGTTAGGTATGTGTTTGCCTTTTGCATCCAGCAGCTGTGGAGTTAAATCTTCAGTCCAGGCTTCACTTCCCATAATACACTGCAGAAACGAATGTTTTCCTGCAGGGCCGCCCTGACCCCATGATGTCACTGTCACATGATGCTAGCTGCTGTTTAACCAGGCCTTTGCTTTTTGCTCCTTTGCATGAAACCTGAGCAGTTCCTGGTACAGGTCAGCATACTGCAAGGCTGACAAGGCCTTCTAAACTGGTTCACTACAAGCCCTGCAAGGCCTTCTGATTAGGCTCACTCTTCTTGTCCTGGGAAGTCTTACTGAAGTGGCTCACTGATCCTGTCCTGGAAAGGCTTCCTGTTCAGGCCTACTCACCCTCATCTGGCCTGGCCAGGCCTCTGATAGAAGCAAGCTGACTGTATGGCTACTGAGGCCTCCTGAACGGTTTCACACGCCTTTGGCCTGGCAAGGCTTCATGATCTGGCTCAACCCCAGCCTGGCAGGAGTGTGTGATAAGGCCCCCTACCCCCTCCCAAGGAGGAAAGGCTTCCTGAACAGAGTCTTTGACCCAGCTCTAGCCCTGCAGCTCGTGTAGAGAGAAGCCATCCTTCTGTAGAATGGAGACTTGGAATATATCTGTATATTAACCGTTTGCTGATTGAGGAATATACCCTACCTGTTTTGCAGTGCACTGCTGATCTCTGCAGAAGAAATGCCAATTGTTTGACTTCGAAATACCTCCTGATTGCTGTGTTCTTTGCCTCTGCTTCGATCCTTCTTGCTGTGTAATTCGGAGCTTCGTACAGGCCTGTGAATGTGTTGCTCTGTCTCTGCTGTTGGCTTCCTGTGCAGCCTAGTGCATTGTTTGTTCCCAAGTGGTAGGTTATATTAACTCTTCCCGTGCCAGACCCATGAATACTGAAGGCAGTCAGTGTGTTTTAGCATGGCAGTGTTAGCATTCTTTAATGGCATTAAGTAAAGTGCAGTGGTAACTACCAGAGAACACGTACTATAAGAATTAATGTCCTGCTGTATTTTAAGAACATCTTTTACACTATGGCTCCTGTAATGTTTTTGTCTTGGATATGAACGTGTAAGCTATATCGGTGGCAGAGGCTCACCCCTGTGTGGGGTAAGTGCTGTATTGCATAATTGTGTGGTTAGGTGTTGGTGCAAATGACAGTGTGTTGCAGTACAATCGGTATTACTTTTCACAGCCTTATGTCTGGGTATATTTCTGGTGCGATTCACCTCCCCCTTCTGCCAGACTGTTTTTCCTTGCTGCAGAATCAATTCCCAGTCCAGAAAGGATTGGTTTACAGTATAACTCTATAGGTGTAGTGTTTACTACCTTCCTATGGGAAGTTGATTTACTTATGTAATTTCCACTCTATCCAGCTGTTGATTTCGGAGGTAGTAAGTCAGTAATGCGGCCTTGTCTGTCAACCTCACTTACCTGTACTGTATTCTCTAATGTTTTAGGCTAACCGTCTATTCTAGGCCTCTCCAGCTATATTGCTTCAGATATCAATGAAATACATATATATTATAAATATAAGCCAAACGTCATTAGGGCAGCTTTGTAATAGTGCTTCATTCCTAGGAGAGTAGTGTCAATCCAGCATCGCCCATAATGCCTCATGTCTTTACAGTGCATGGCAAAAAGTTGGGTGACCTAAATCCCCTGGACAGTTCCCTAGGCTTAAGGCAGGGCTTGACAAATCTGCTTAGAATGTAGGAGCCTGCTAAAAATGTTGGGAGCCAGGTTAGTTAAACTAATAGTTTCATTTTGAACGACAGAAATTAAATTGTTAAAGGGACAATATAATCACCAGGCCCATTACTGCTTAGTGTAGTGGTTGTGGTGTCTATATATTGTCCCTGCACATTTTTCAATCTTAACACGGCCTTTTCAGAGAAATCGCATTGAGGAAAAAAGGTGAGTAAACACCATTTTCACGAGATCGGGACATACACACTCACTGACAGACACACAGACACTCAGTGATTTGGAACACACTCACTGGCAGAGATACTCTCCTTCACAGACACACCCATTTTCTCATACACTCAAAAATATTTTTTTTATTTAAGTCCACCAAGCCTCCCTACTTTTGGGAGACCCGGAGTGGATCCTTTCGCAGTGAGCTGCTCTGTAATCTTCAAGCTTTTCTTTGTTTGCTCCTTCGCGCGCTGTTTAGTGATGTCGAGGCCGGAGTGACGTCATATTCCGGCACCCAGCTCACTGCCGCAAGGGAGCAGAGTAAGAATAGCAGGAAGATTACAGCTCCCTACATGCTTGCTGGGTCGGCCGCCTGGCCACCTCCATGATCCCTCGGTTGAACAGGCTAACAAACATCCAGGTGCCAGGACAAAATTCTTATTCGCCATGGCAACCTAGTGCCTGCAATTTGTCTAGCCCTGGTTTAAAGAACCACTATAGTGCCAGGAAAACATACTCGTTTTCTTGGCACTATAGTGGCCTGAGGGTGCCCCCACCCTCAGGGACCCCCTCCCGCCAAGCTCTGGGGAGAGGAAGGGGTTAAAATCTTACCTTTCTTCAGCCCCGGGCGAGGGAGCTCCCGCCTCCTCTCCTCCTCTTCGGCTGAATGCGCATGCGCGGCAGGAGCTGCGCGCGCATTCAGCCAGTCTCATTGGAAAGCATTCATAATGCTTTCCTATGGATGCTGGCGTCTTCTCACTGTGATTTTCACAGTGAGAAGCACGCAAACGCCTCTAGCAGCTGTCAGTGAGACAGACATTAGAGGCTCGATTAACCCATTTATAAACATTGCCGATTCTCTGAAACTGCTATGTTTATAAAAAAAAGGGTTAATCCTAGCTGGACCAGGCACCCAGACCACTTCATTAAGCTGAAGTGGTCTGGGTGTCTATAGTGGTCCTTTAAGGGGACGCTGAAGATGCTTTGAACTGTGACTGCAATGATTTGTAGCCATGCTTTACCTTGAACAGAATGATGAGAGTCCTAGTCAACAGCATTTAGAGGTCAGTTGCACCCTCTAATTACTGTAGTTAGTACCCTAACCCTAAAAAAATGTCTACCTTCTTAACCAAACCAAAATGGTGCAATTGATGATGTCTCTTATGAATGGCATTGGAATGATAGCCCTCTCTTTACAGTTTTACTCAAATATTGCCCTACATTTTTAAAACCCTGTTTTCACTGAACTATTTTGAATGGATACTTTTAGAGATTTAGCTCAGCAAGAGCTGGAGAACAATAACCTGCTTTAGAGGGCCCCTCTTGGCCAGTGGTGAGCAAATGGTAGGTACCGAGATTTTGTAGAACTGCAGCTTTCATTATGCTTTGACATTCTAAAGTCTAGCAAAGCATCATGGCAGCTGTAGTTCTATAACTCATGGGAATGTACTGTATGCAGTATAACCATTTCATCTTGTTAATTTGGTATAGACTTAGAGCCTGGAGACCCTTGGTGCAGTCCCTGCATTTAGTATTAAACTATTTTGGATTGGTTTAGCATTGAAAGAGGAGGGTCCCTGGCCATCCAAAGCCTGCTCCCCACAGGTGTTATAGCTAACGCAGAGATTCCAATTTTCGTCATACACATACATACCAGCAGTGGAGTGCTGTGATAAACAGAGTGGTCAGCTGACACTCTCGTACTTCCTCATTAGTCCTAGTAGCACAGAGGAGCTGGGATGCCAGGACCCTTCTTTAGCATTAAACCATGCACAAAATGGAGGGACTGCAACCAGGGACTCCAATGAGATCGTGATTACAGTGCCTAGAGTGTCCTTATAAGTATACCACAACTGATGCACATCCACAGACATGCAACAGTAGAGTGGAGGCTCCAGCCATCAGGAAGCTCTCATTCGGCAGTATGAGGTTAGAGGTTTGTATGGAATGTGTACTTCAGCCAATAGCAGTAGTTCCAGTCATCAGATCCGATGACTGGAGCTGATAAATAAGCTTTAACAGCCTATTGATAGCTCTGTTTAGCAGCCTTTTGATGTATACTATTCTCTTTTACATTCTGAGGGGAAAAGAGACAGTGGCCCTGAATTTGACAAATCTATGGATTTATAAACTATGTGAAAGGGTACATGGACCTTCCTTGCAACATAACGTGCGCAATGGGCAAGGGTTTCTGTATTGCTTGGAGTGTCCCTTTAATGTGTCCTTACGTAGGATTGGAACAGTAGCTCATATTGTACAACAACAGAAAGCAGCTCTGCACCATCTCCTGTATCATGTGACCCCCTGGTTTCATCCAGAGCTTTTGCTCCTTGACTTTTACAGGACAAAGTAAGATCTGTCCCCCCTCAGCCAGGAATTCCTGCTTACCAGCCCTTTGTGCTCCTCTCTCACCGACAGGACACATAGTGACAGATGTTAGGGACAGCATAACAAGGCAGAGTTTGTAGATCCCATTGCACATAGGGGGGGGCAAAGGGGAGGCCGCAGCTTTCTGCTTCATTCAGCACCAGCTCTGAATGACATCAACAATTCTGTATGAGCGGCCATGCGGGAGGGATCAGGCCTAGCTTGTAAGGGATGATGGATTTTTCAGTAAGCCAGGCAGAGCTCAGTATTAGGGCCTCATACCCAAACCCATTCGCTGCTAGCCGGCTCCAGCAACTCATGGAGGTCCAGTTTACACAGGTAGTAAAACACAGATTAGGACGGCTGCTTTTTTACAGCTATTTGTTTTTTCACTGAGCCGACAACACAGCATTCCTTCGATTTCCTGTTAGAGGATTTACTGGGCCTCTAAGAAACTGTGAGAGGAAAAGGTCCTATAGTTTTGTTTTTAAGTTTATACTTGAGTTCGAGAGAAAGGTATAAATGTAAGTACTTGGAATCTGAGTGAAAATGTGATTATATGCTAACATGCCTGCACATGTATGTTCTCTCCTAGGTGACGGGGTGTAGTTCATCATGGGCGATATGAAAACCCCTGACTTTGACGATCTCCTGGCCGCATTTGACATTCCCGACATGGATGCGAATGAAGCCATTAACTCTGGGCCTGAGGAGGAGGAGGAGGGAGAGGAAGAAGAGAAGCCATCAGTAGGAGATGTAGTGAGCACTGAACATGGTTTACCACATGCAGATATCACGGCTGTTAGTGTCATAGTAAAGAACACTGTGTGCCCAGAGCAAGTGGACCCACTGGATGTACACAGCAAGGAAATTACAGGCCTTGGAGCTCGGCTATTGCATAATGGGTTCAGTAGTCCAGACATCATCCGATCTTCTGCACCAAGGTCTGTAGAATCTGTCCCCACTGCTTCCAATGGAGGGGAGAGCTGGACCCCCCGGCCAAAAGGTGTTAAGCCCATAGAATTATTTACTGACTTTAGTACAGTGGACAATCCTATAGATAGCCACGCAGCGGACTTAATTGACAGACCACGAGATATTAAGCCAAAGGAAAGGCCAATATTTGAGTCGCCTGATCCTGTTCTGTGTCGCTCTCCTGTGGATTCTGTGTTGGAAAGCAGCCACAGTCTTACTAGGGTGGCGCCTCCAGCCTTTTCCATCAGTAAGATCACTGCAGATAATTCATCACTAGGACGGTGTTTGGCAGCTCCCTCAATCAAGGAGGAGCCTATAGATGAGAGGATGGAGAGTCCATGTCCTCAGTTGGATGTTGCTTCAAAGGACATTGGTTTGGAACATTTGAAATCCGTCACTGTTCACTACCCTAAAGACACCCCACCTGTCCCTTCTTGGACAGGCCCAATTACAAAATCAGAGAGTAGCACTAACAACATCCCTGAAAAAAAGAGTCCTCAAAACTACCCAGAGGATGGATTTCTCAAAACTGCAGGGGACCCTGAACCAGCTGTGGATCTCCCAGGTGCCTCACCAGAGCTTAAAAGAAGCCCAGTAACTACAGTAGTGGGAGTAAAGGAGGAGCCATGCTGGAGCCCAAGGAGTCTATCCAGTGATGTTGAGGATGAAGATGGCATCAGTTCTCCATCTTCAAACTCTTCCAGACCACTGAAAGTTCGCATCAAGACAGTAAAGACCCAGTCAGGAAGTATCACCAGAACAGTCACAAGGGTATCCTCTGATTCAGATACAGTATCTTCAATGCAAATTACAGAGGAAACCCCCCAAGAGCCAGTCTCTGAGCCCCCTCAGGAGAAAGGCGTAGATGCAAAAGAAGATGTCACGCAAACCCCTGTGAATGAGAAATCAGACTCTTCTGGTCCTGCCAAGATGGAACCGTCACAGATTCCCAAAGTGCAGTTAGGAAATGGGGTAAAACTGAAAGGATCAGTGCTGCCAGTGTCCACCATTCAGAATGCAAGTAGTGTGATGCTAATGGCTGCTAGTGTAGCACAGCAGAAAGCAGTTGTCATGCCTTCTAAGGCTAGCAAAGTTATGACCAAGAACATCATTCACCTGGTGCAGCAGCCACTTCCAAACGCAGCGTCTCTGACTAATATCAGTGCTGGAAGCCAAGTGTCTTCAAGCACCACAGTCACCACCACAGCAAGCCCCCAGCGTAATGCTACTGTGCTGATGGTACAGTCACAGAAGCCAACCCCTGCTGTAGCTGGGACAGTCATCTCCCGGACACAATCGAGCCTAGTAGAAACTTTTAACAAGATCCTTAACAGCAAGAACCTACTTCCAACTTACAAACCGAACCTCAGCCCGCCAGTCGAATCTAGCCTGAGCCTTCCAGTCTTTGGCTTCCGCTGCTTGGAGTGTGGGGACTCTTTTGCCTTGGAGAAAAGCTTGGCCAGACACTACGATAGGCGGAGCATGAGGATTGAGGTGACCTGTAACCATTGTACCAAGCGCCTTGTGTTCTTTAACAAGTGCAGTTTACTCCTCCATGCCCGTAAACACAAGGACAATGGACTCGTCATGCAGTGCTCACACCTGGTAATGAGGCCTATAGCCTTGGAGCAGATGATCGGGCAACCCGATGTCACACCACTGGTTTCAGTTGCTGTCTTGACGCCAGGGAAGGCAGCTACCCCTGGCCCTGCGCCAGAATCTGCGGCAACAGCTAGTGCCAGCAGTGACTCCTCCAATCTCTCTGGGAACGGAAACTGTGACCAAGCCGTCTACTCCACTTTTAGATGTTTAGAGTGCAAGGAGCAGTGTAAGAATAAAGCTGGACTGGCTGTCCATTTCCAGCAGCCTGGCTCAACCACAGCATCTCGCAATACCGTAAGTATTTCTTAAATTAAACATGGTGGGTAATAGGTGCCAATATATACATTGTATACACCTAATGTTCCAAAGTCTGTTCAAGGAACCAATCTCAATGTAGGCAAAGTTGCACCTTTGCGGTAGTTATAGTGATATTGACTGCCAAGATTTGCGCTATTGATGTGAATTCTGATGATGCTAATATATAGCACTTTTACTGTTTCTGAAGTCAGAGCAAACCTTATCTGTGGCAAATTCACTTCCAGCTATAATAAATAACAAATAGTTGTTGTCTGGTGCAGGAATTTAGAATAGCTGGAAGCTAGGTAGTCTGGTGAGAATCCAGCAGGTAAGTTTAACAGGGTCTGAGCAAGTTGGGCATAATGCTGGCAGGTAGTTGGTATGTTCTAGCAGGCACAAAGCTGGCATGTTAGGGAAACAATGGTTTGATTAATGGACAAGTGCTCGGGTTGGCATTCATACATTGGGAGGTTAGTGCGTGAACTTACTGACTGTGCGGCAATTGGTGTGCTTGGCAAAAAGCTTGAAGGTTTTGTTTTTAAAACTGTTGTGTTTTGCTAGTATTTGCCAGTTTCTGATATCTGACATATTTAGCAGAAAGAAGGAAGATTGGTATGTTTGTCAAACTGCTGGCATAATTTTCAAAATCGGTATGTTTGACAAAAAAACTAGTTGCTATAGTAAGACACTGACATGTTCAGCAGGAGTTTTTAGATGCTAGCTGGCAGGAACGTGGCAGTCTCTAAGGGGGAGAATATAGTATATTTGGCAAGAAATTGGGATGCTGCCTTCGCTTCAACATGTCTGTTATGTCTAGCAAATAATATTTTTGGGCACTGTTTTACAGGTGTGCTCTCTTTGTCCCATGATGATGCCTAATCGGTGCAGCTTTGAAGCTCACCAGCGTATGCACAAGCAGAGCCCCCCTCATGTGTGCCCTGAATGTGGAGGCAACTTCCGTATTGAAAACTTCCAGACTCACCTGAAGGAAACCTGCCTTCACTTCTCTCGCAGGATTGGTTACAGGTATGGCCTGATGTGTGTGTGTGTTCATGGGTATAGCATAGCACTGGGTAAATACTACTACCATCTAAATGATACAGTGGTTTGGAGGTGTACAGACACTTGCTAAATGTGTATTTAAAACATTATAATGGATGATTAAGACTGTGGGATTTATATACAGGAAAATGAAAACTGAATTTCCAGATTTAGGCCAAAAAATTATAATCTGCCAATTTTACCAACTGTACCAGCTATTTTGTTTGGTTTTGATTCTGCATGGTTCACTGCTTGATTAACCCATTTGTTAATGTATCCTATGCTGCAGGTGTCAGAGCTGTGCTGTTGTTTTTGGAGGGCTGAATTCCATCAAGTCCCATATCCAGACATCCCACTGTGAGGTTTTTCATAAGTGCCCAATATGCCCCATGGCATTCAAATCTGCACCCAGTGCTCATGCCCACATATATACCCAACATCCAGGATTCAGCAGTCAGCAAGCCAAGTGAGTGATGCATGTTACAGGGATTTGTGTTCAGTGGGAGTGTGGGATAGTAAGGGCAATGGGGACAGTGCCTGTAAGTAACCCTTGGCCAGACAATGAATTTAAGCATGTCTTCCTCCCCGTTTCTTTTTTCACTAGGATGATCTATAAATGTGCAATGTGTGACACTGTCTTTACCCACAAACCTTTACTCTGCGCCCATCTGGACCATTCGCACTTTGACCAACAGCTAGCTAATCAGAGGGTCAGTGTGTTCAAGTGCCCAGAATGCCCTCTACTCTTTGCCCAGAAGCGCACCATGCTGGAACATCTGAAGGTATGCTCTTAGGATGCTAAGCTTGATGTTTAGATAGCTAATATTATCCTTTTTCCGACAGTTGAGGCGTACTTTGCCATGCTACAAAAGGAAGGCTTTAACGACGTTAGGGTGGCATAGCACACTCTAACAATTGGGTCCACCCTGCTAGCATACTTATGGCTTGTTCACTGAATCCGATCGGGGGACTGCCTGACTACCAATCCAAGTCATGTAATCGCGATGACCCTACTGCGTTGTCAGGCAGATCCCCTAACATATAATTGGTATAATCCTATAATTATGTATAAATCATATATAAATATACACTTGGAATGGGAAAGAAAATTATTATATATACTTATGTATTTTCATTCTACCTATAAATGTATTCTTTTTACATAATTATGTGATTCTATTAATTATATATTGGAGTACCTGCCTAACAACCTAGGCAGAAAGTCCAGAGAATTTAATTTGCAACCACTACATTTGACCCTGTAACTTTCCAAAACACCATTATACCTGTATGTATGGGTTACTGTTGTACTCATGAGACCTTGATGGACACAAATATGTGTCTTTTATTGCAGTAAAAAAACAAAAAACAGTATTATGACATTCACGGTTAAAATGCCATGCAGGCAAATAACAGCATTTCTTAATTTCTCACATTATTTAGATGTTGTTCATTTTAAATGATGTTCCATATATACATTTATTTGATGTGAAATGAAAGCCCTGTTTCTACTGAATAAACTGATACATAGTCAAAGTCCCAGTTTAGTCTTGATCAAAACCTGAGCAATTGCCTCCTTCCTTAAGGGATTATCATTTATGTATAGCACCAACATATTCCACAGCACGTTACAACATTCTAAAAGGGGGTAATAAAATAAATGAGACAATTAAAGGAACAATAGATTGGTGAGTACTCTGCACGAAAGAGCTTACAATCTAGAAATCATTAATGCTTGGTGCCTGGGCTCCGTAACAGGTTTCTTGCTTTGTGTCATTGTGATAAACATTTTTCTGGCAGTGCAGGTTGCTGGGTTCTCCTTTTTTATAACATTGATTTTTTTATTTTTTTATTTTGCAGACCACACACAATAGCCATATTAGAGAGGATCCCCCTCAGGCCCCTGAGTTACTCAGTCCCAAGCCAGAGCCAATGGAAGTCCCAGTGACAAAGCAGCCGGACACAGAGGCGGAACCAGAAGCGGAGCCAGAACCGGAGCCAGAACCAGAGATAGAAGAATCTTCATCCTCTGACATGCCTAGCTCCCCTGAGGTGCGCAAGAAAACAAAGACGAAAGAAGCCCAAAAGGCAGAGGGACCACGACAGAGGAGTAACTGTTGGACTTGTGGCATCTGCCATTCGTGGTTCCCAGAGAGAGACGAATATGTAACTCATATGAAGAAGGAACATGGAAAGGTCAGCAGAGCATCATGCATATAAAGTGGGGATACATAGACTAGGGGAACTGATGGGATTACTGTGTATTATTAGTTGTTTGCAGAAGATGAGGTAATACCCTGAATATTAATATTTTAATTGGAGTACAGTTAATAAGACCAAATTATTTATTTGGGCAATCTTTATTTTTGGTTGTGCAAATAAGCATAAATGAGATTACAATGTGAATGGTTGCAAGTTTCAAGAAAAACTACATGGCAGAACAGCATGGCATTCTTATGACGTGCACAGGTTTTTGTGTTGTTAAGGGTTAGAAATACATTAAAGTAAGGAATCAGGAACACAACAGTTGCTGCTTGCTCTAAGGCATTCATAAGTACTCTGCAGGATGTAAGGCTGTATACAGCAGTACCCAGGACCCGTCTCTACTGAGCTCTAGCGTGGCTAAATTAAGTGTGTGTTAGGTACCGGATGTCAAGTTCAGGTACAGGTGTGCCTGCATTGTTACTGGCACCATAGGCCCGGCTATGCATCGGTTTAGGCACAATGATCGTAAGCGTGTCCTTAGATGTCAGTCTGTCCCATATTGTGAGTCAACAGGTGTTACGGTGAGACACTCAAAAGCGAATAGTAAGTGGGGCTTGGTCTTCTGTTAATGGGTCCAGTGCCCACTGTCGACCCCTACAGCTGTGTCATGCCCCCTCTCCGTATGGCGTCAGTGTCGAGGTTGCGGTTAGTCATGTGTGGAGAGCACTGTGTCCGCCCTTGCGGGGAAAGAGTGGTGGAGGGAAGGAGGGGGAAGAGGGAGGGGGAGGGGAAGGTGTAGGGAGAGGTCTGCCAGATTACTGGGACAAACATATATAGCTGTAAACCTAGAACCTCCTGCAATGTTTGGTCACTCTCAGAGCTAATTATCTGCAGGAGCAAAATCAGGCTCTCTAACTGAAAGAGTTTAAAGAGCAGATCCCATGTAGGGAAAGTTGGTCTCTGTCAGTTATTGTATGTTTGATGATTTATTATTTTTTTCTTTTCCTGCTTACTTCAGTCTGTAAAGAAATTTCCATGCCGTCTTTGTGAACGATCATTTTGCTCAGCACCCAGTTTGCGCCGTCATGTCCGGGTCAATCACGAAGGCATTAAACGAGTTTATCCGTGCCGGTAAGTACACCACCCACTCACTCTGTGATTAAGTCAGTAGTCGTTGATTGACCTATTGTTATATTTTCTCGTTCTCCAACAGAAAAAGCATATATCAATACAGTTTATCTAAAAAATGTTTTACCAGGAAAAATACACTGGTTTGTATTCACTAAACAAAGTGTTGTGGGGAATCTAAAATTTTATTATGAAACTTGGGCCAGGTTTGGCACAGTCTCTTTTCAATTCACCACTGACTGCTCAGGGTGTGTGGGTTAGTGTAGCTGTAGTAAGTATGCTACTGAACCTATATGGAGCTTAGCAAGCTTGTGGAACTGGATGGACCGCACTGTTAGGATGGCGTGTTGTGCTGGAGAGAGCATGCCACTTGTGTGGAGTCGGCGCATGGTGTAGGGGCTGGAGAGAATGTGCTGCTCAAGTTATTTACAACATGTTAGACTTTGTCTTGATAATTAGTTGGAGATAAGCAGTCATGGCTTTGTTTTAAATATCACTGTCATCCAGTCTGGTTTGATTTTTATTAAGTCCCACTATCTCACTTGTAGGCAACCAGTGCTGTCAGCACTCCAGATGTTGTGGACTACATCTAACCTGATGCTTTGCCAACATTATGGCAGTAAGAGCACTGTGTGAGATGTAGTTCACAGAATGTATAGTGCTGAAGGTTGCCTAACGATTCGCTTCACACGTGCTTAGTGCACGTCAGTATATTTTGGGTAAATTATTTAAATCAGCCGTGTCACCTTCAGTAATCTTTATATGTTTTGCAAAGACCCTCAAAGGTGACATCCCTGCCAGCAATGCAGTGGAAGGTAGGTTAAGTGCCAGGGGCTTTCTTTAGCCCCTGGCACTTAATCTTCATCAGTGCTGTATTCCCAACACTGCATCCTTTATAGATCAAGTCTTGCACTATGTGAGAAAAAGCCTGATTTCCACAAATATTGCTAGTGCCGACTGTGGAAATTGACAAAAAGTTAGCACAGAAAACAAAGTAGTCCATTTGTCTAATGATATCTTTTGCCAGCATATTATTACAATTTTATCTTCACGAAATACTCAAACTATATGGTCTTGTAATAGCACCACTTTATTTAAGGAGTATAAATAATTGCTGGGAGCTGCTGACTGTTAACTTCAGCTTGTTCAAATGCATTATGTTAACTGAGCTTAACATACGACACTGGTGTCTAGTGATGTCCCGAACGGTTCGCCGTGGACTCATCGAGTAAACTTTGACCCTGTACCTCACAGTCAGCAGACACATTCCAGCCAATCAGCAGCAGACCCTCCCTCTCAGACCCTCCCACCTCCTGGACTGCATCCATTTTACATTCTTTGTTAAGCTGCATTCTTAGTGAGCTGTCCAGGAGGTGGGAGGGTCTGGGAGGGAGGGTCTGCTGCTGATTGGCTGGAATGTGTCTGCTGACTGTGAGGTACAGGGTCAAAGTTTACTCAGTGATGAGTCCGCGGCGAACCGTTCGGGACATCACTACTGGTGTCTCCCAGATTACCATGGGTGATATAGACCTCATGGTCTAAGTTAGTGCCTCTGATTTCAGTTCTATGCCCCATTTCTGCTTTTTATCTGGCCAGACTATTAGCAGTTTGATAGATCAATAGTGTTTGTTGCCATTACATTGGCCTAAATGCATTAATATAATACTTGGCTCACTCCCCACCTCAAACTAAGTGTAAAGCATTTTGGGGTTTTTAGGAACAGCTTGTCTGTGGCATGTAGTGTTGCTGTGTGTTAATGCAGTGACGTATTGGTGTAAATGCTGGGGAGTGTCAGGATGTGGAAGGTCAGTGTGTGCAGGGATGTGTGTGAGAAATGTTAGTATGTAGCGGTGTACATGTTAGTGTGCTTGTGTGAATTATGGTCTATACGTGTGTAAATGGAGAGGTGCAAGGAGATTTGTTTGAGGCGTCATTTTGTGTGAAGTACTGCTTCAGCTAACTCAGATTATCACAGGTCCCATGTAGCTGACATTGTAAGTGTATAGAATCATGGTATGTGATAAATTATTAAAAGGAAACATCAGTATAGCTTCATGGACCCCATGATATAAAACATAACTTTTATTGGCAGGCTTCATGATCCAAAAAACACCAGAGCATTAGTAGCGTGATGAAGGTAAAAAAGAAAGTACACATAAAATGATGATAAAAATAGTTTACAAAAACTGATGCAGAAATCCTCCATATCTGCCTTGTGTTTTGTGTGATTAGCCACACTTATTCATAAGCACGTGTTGCCTTAATACACCAGCGAGAGCAATTTTTATAAACTATTGTTTAATAGATGACAGGCTTTTCACTCACCATATTGTCTCACTCTCTCTCCTCTGCTTACTACCCTCCAGATACTGTACTGAAGGGAAGCGTACATTCAGCAGCCGCCTCATTCTTGAAAAGCACATCCAGGTCAGACACGGGATCAAGGTCACAGACCAGACACGGAGTCAGGAAATCCTGGTGTCCCGCAACGGAGGTAGATTGCAGGTATGTTGCTCTACAGATCTTACAAAGAGTCAAGAATTCCAAAATGTCTTTCAGATACTGCAACCTCTGTTACTGAATATATTACATATCTATAATTAGCCATACATAGTAAGTTTAAAGGTACATTGTCTTGTGGCAAGTATTAACATGATTTCACTAATGTGTGAATTGAAAGCAATTAAAATGAATACTATAGCATTATGAATATAAACATGATTCCCTGATGCTATAGTTTAAATCTATTTGGGTTCCCCCCATCCAGCCATGTGAGGGTTTGAAAGGTGCAATTTACATTATTCACGGCTCTTGTTGCATCACTTTCCACCTCGCTTCTCGCCTCTTTGGCTGAAATCAGTGTAGAGGATCTCAGCCAATCCAGTGTTTCCCCCATAGGGAAACATTGGGAGGCTAGAATGCATGCGCAGCAAAACCCTGCTCTGCGCCAATCAAACGTTCTCTATAAAATCATCTGATTGTATAGTCAACTTTATTTTGGCTATTCAGGAGGAAGCTCCTATAGAGGCATGCTAACCCTGCAATGTTTTCAGTTGTGGGATTAGGAGTACAGGGACATGGCACCCAGACCTCTGCTTGGAGGTGATGTTGTCTAAGTGCCTATAAAGTCCATTTCCCATTTTACGAAAGAATAGCCAAAGTGGAAAAATTCCGTTCTGTTTTCTGTTTGGCTAATTTGGCCTAAAATGTTTAATTCACTTAGAGTTCTCAACACTTGTTTGTGTTGGCAAAATGCCAGCAAACCTAAGGAATAAAAGGTTTAGTAACCTGAAATTTGATTGAATTCTCCAAATGTAAGTGGTCAAATAGTTTAAGTTCTTACCTGGGCTCTGCCAGTTGCAGCTGTTCTCGTCTCTGTAGCCTTTAGGGGAGCCTCTAAAGAGAGCATCAGTCAATCCCCATTAGGCTTCCCCCAGACCAGTGGTGCCGCTTAGAGGGGGGCCATGACCTCCTACATCATGTTGTGCCCCCCAATGCAGGCACTGTATCAAGGGCAATGTGCTTGGGTTTTTTAATAATTCCTGGTGGAGAATAATGAATCCTCCACCCAGGATTAGTTAAAAAAAAACAACACACACATTGTGGTGGGGCTTACTGTGCTGTTAGTCTGCCTATCCACACTGTCATCCCCACACCCTGCCCCTCACACTGTTACCTTCCAACACACTGCCCCCCACACTGTCACCTTCCTACACACTGCACCCCTCTACTGCCACTTTCCTGCACACTGTCCTCCCCTTTTAGCCCACAGGTAAGAGGCAGGGTGGGGGGTTAATTAAATTTAATTTAAACAGCTCTCCCCCCCAGCACTTATCCAACACTACATACACTAGACACACTGCATCCACCACACAAACACTAGTTACACTACACAGACACTGCATCCACTACACACATTGCATACAATATAAATGACATCCACGACATGGAAGAAGGGGGAGAAAGGACATGAAAGGGAGGGCAACAGAGACTTGGATTCTTCAATCCATGGGATAGATCCAAGCTGAACGGACAGTGCAGTTACATCTAAGGTGTGATACATTACCTATAAAACAATAGTAAAAAGGCTGCGCCACAGGAAGGCTAAAATAAGTTCGATAAATAAGTGTCCTTGCGAATAGTCTTTATCACAAAAAGTGCAGTGTTGAAGTCTTCATAAACTGTATTAGTTCCACTTACAAGACTTCAACACTGCACTTTTTGTGATAGACTATTCGCAAGGACACTTAAGTTGGACTTTTTATTTATCGAACTTATTTTAGCCTTCCTGTGGCGCAGCCTTTTTACTATTGGTCTATCCGTCTTGTTTTAAAAGGGTTTGGAGGGTTTCCCTTTTTAAGCTTGGTGCCTGTCAGTTAACTAGCGCTGTCTCTCTTCTTACATATTTCTGTGATACATTACCTACCTGGCTGAGGCTGCAGTTTGCAGAGGGATTAAGGGAGTGTGTGTATATAAACACACATACATACATGTTTTTTAACTGACCCCCTACTTTTGTTCCTGGCCCATCATGCGCCCCCCTAAAAATGAATCCTAGAGACGCCACTGCCCCAGACAGAATGCTTCGGACTAGCGATCACATGGGACGTAAAGCCCTGCTGGCACCAAGTTAGAAGTCAGACCGTTCGAAAACAGTTTGACTACTTACATTGTGGGGTGTTCGAGATTATTCTGGTGTCCATATAAAATTAGTTACAGAGGACAGACAGCTGTCTAGCGTTTGCCACTTTGCTGTAGTCCAGAATCTTCCCTGTTTCCAGCAGTGTGTCTGGATAGTTTTCGATTTGCAATTGACCCCTATTGGGCAAACCATAGCATAGTTGGGTTTATTTTAAGTAGGAGGCGATTTACATGGAACTCCTCTGGTTTTAACTCCTCATAAGGCAGCTGTGATGTTAGATTGACCTTCGTGACAGAAATATTTCACTTACTTATTAGAACCAAAAATGTAAATCCAGTTGCACCATGCACAGAATTATAAATATGGAGATGCAGACTGCCTTTATATTACTGAAACCAGGGAGCTGTAATCATCTGCAAGTTACTCTTCATCTATGGATTACACAATCTATACAGTCCATCACAGCCATTGATAAACTCAATCTGGATATTAACCCACTATCTGGGTTTATTATTATTTACTATGGTTTCAGGTGGAGACCAAACTGATTGCACCTGTGTGGTGGGTGTCTATCTGCTGGAATTGATTGCAGATCAATTGATTCCAAACCTAGAATAATATTAACTACCCACAAATGCCATTTATTTTCACTGTCAAACCAAATGCACTCCATTTAAAGGGAAACTATAGCTCTGGAAAAACAAAGTTGTTTTCCTGGCAATATAGTCCCCTCTACCTCACAACCCTTCATCACTTTCATGATTCCACCGCCAATGTCCCTCCGCGTAGGTTCAGGCTCCTCCACCGTCAGCCAGCAGATGGACCCAATGCACCATGACCGCATTATGACTTCCCCATAAGAAAACATTGTAGAATACTTACATATGGTGTTTTGACGCTGTATTTTCCTATTTAGAGCGTGAGGACATCCAGCGTCAGTTAGATGACCAAAAGTCACAACAAGCTAACAGTCCCTCTAGTGGTAGACAGTCAGTAGAGGTGGAGTTAAAAACTGCAATAATTACCATTTGCAGGGTTAGGGACCTGGGGCAGTGCACCCAGATGCTTTCAATGAGCTGAAGTTGTCTGGGTGCCTATAATGTCCCTTTAAAGAAAACACATTAGTCGGCATTAACAGGATTGAGCAATGAGACTGCAGGGGCATGGTTTATACCATGGGTCATCAACCTGGTCCCTACTGCCCACTAGTGGGAGATTCACACTTTCAGGTTGGCGGCGGTGGTGGGGTCTCCGTAAAATTCCTGGTGAGCCGTGATGTGCGGTGGAGATCCTGTCATCTCCCCTGCCGGCCCATGCAGAGCCAGTCATGCTGTGAGCTCTCTCAAGGCAGTGGGAAGATCAAAGATCTCCCTCAGCGGCCCGCTGGCACTTAGTTCCAGCAGTGGGAGGCTCTGTGTTCCTCTCGCGAGCAGGCTGGTTCCTCCCGTGCTCATGGGAGGACAGGAGAGTCAGCCTGCAACCAGCAGAGATGCAGGCTCAAGTGAAAGTGCCACCACTGGACCACCAGGGCTTGCAACGCTATATGCCCCTTCCCTGACAAAGGTAAGAAGAAGGGAGGGGGAAACATTAAGCTGGATTTGCGCATCTCACCCACCTACACACAACATAGACGCTATGAACCAATCACATACAGAAATACACACTGTCCACACAAAAAAAATATAACCGAAAATAGAAAAGGGGTGGGGGTGGAGATAGATTTTATTAAAATGAAAGTATATTTGTTTTTAGTAAAAAAAAATAAAAAAAAATAGTTACTCTGCACTGGTGGGCGGTAGGTATTAAAAGGTTGACTACTCCTGGGCTATACCCTAAACTACTTCATTAAAAAGACACTCCAGACCCGTAACATCCACTAGAGGTGAAGTTAACCATGCAAGGTAATTATTGCAGTTTATCAAAAACTGCAATAATTACAATTAAAGGCACTTCCTGCAGTGCCCCTCCCACCCACCCCCCCATCCCATGTTGCTGAATAGGTTAAAACCTCTTCAGTGACTTACCTGAATCAGGCGCTGAAGTCCCTCGGCGCTGGGTCAGGCTCCGCCCACACTTCTGGCAATGGCCAGGCTCACGTGCATTAGATCTCCCCATAGGAAAGCATTATTCAGTACTTTCCTATGGGGATTCCAGTGACGCTGGAGGTCCTCATGCATAGTGTGAGGATGTCCAGCATCGTTTAAAACACTTTGCGTGGTTTAAGAACCCGGAAGTCCCTCTAGTGGCTGTCTCATAGACAGCCACTAGAGGACTTAACCCTGCAAGGTAATTATAAAAACTGCAATAATTACACTTGCAGGGTTAAGGGTGATGGGAGTTGGCACCCAGACCACTCCAATGGGCCGAAGTGGTCGGGGTGCCTGGAGTGTCCCTTGGGACAGTGCACCCAGACAACTTAAATGAGCTGAAGTGGTCTGAGTGCCTATAGTGTCCATTTAACCAACACAGGTTGAAAAAGCAAAATACTACACCCTCTTCTCTAACCACATAAAGCTGATTATATTGACTAGATCATGCTCTCAATGTGATGATGTTTGTGTTATCGCTAAGTGATAGGTAAAAACAGTGTTTTGCAAGGCTTTTTGTTAGTTAATGGGACTACTTTCTGATTTGGATTGTCGTTAAAAAGTCTAAGGTGTAAATGGGGGTTTATGTGAATGAATTAATAAGACAGATTGAGTGGTGCTAATAGGCAGTGTCCCACAATTCCCTGGGCAGAAGGCTTTAATACTTATCTTGTTCTGGTTTCTTAGGCCTCATCCAGAAAACGGAAGATTTCTTCAGATGAATCTGGCAGCGATGAGCCCAAAAAACCCAAACCAGCACCGCAAAAACATAAGCGATCCTTTCAATGCAGAGCATGCGGTTATAAGACTAGCAGCCTGGCTGACTTCCGACAACATATACCCCAGCACTGCACTGACGAGAGCTCTCATCAGTGTCGGGAGTGTGGGGTCTGCTTTACATCTCAAGGCTCTCTCAAACGTCATCGCGTTATGACACACAAAATGAAGGGTGCACCGGCAGAGGACCCTGAGCCTCCACCTAAGGCTGGAGAGTCCTCAGAGGGTAAGCTGACCTGCCAGGTGTGCAACAAGGCTTTTGACAGCCAGCTGAATCTGAACACTCATTTCCGGACGCATGGCATGGCTTTCATTAAACAGCGGCAGAGCGGTGGCACTGAGAACTGAGCTAGCATTATTCATTGCTTCTTCCATCCTTAAGAAGGGGTTAGAGTTACACTTTATTTCCATGTCTGAGCAGCACACGGAGCCAGTTCTGAAGCTTTGTGTTTACACTGCTAATATTAGCAGAACTAGACTATGGATTTTGTGCGTTTCTACCTGGGTAGGAGACTTTCTTTATATCTTCAAATCGAACGCCCAGATGTGCCTTATTACAGTTAAAGTAAAAACCCCCATTCCTTCCCTGCCAATTTAAAATATTATGGCCGTGTAGTGTGCTGGGACTAAACAGAAAACAGACTTTTGGTGGATTTAAAAAAAAAAAAAAAAAAAGTCTGCACCTCTTCTGCAGTGTGGTGCATGTTGCACAGGCCTAGAATGTACACCACTTCAGTCTGATCAGCAGCCTTTTATTGAAAAAGGAAAAAAACACTGTCAAGGAAGAAGATTTTAATAACAGGTTACAATTTCCACTGGACAAAAAAAATGGTTTGTAAAACATTGCAGTAGATTTCCATACTGCAATCACTACATACACTTTATAAATATGTAAATTACATTATAAATATATATTTTTCTGCAAAGGATTTTTTTGACAAGTAGTCCAGGTTCACCTTTTTCTTTATAAGTTTGGTTTTGTACAGGGGTAAAACAAAGCTGTGAAGAAGTTCTTAATTTATGAACAGATCTGTAAGACCTCCCCATAATGCCTATTTACCTGCACCAACAATGGCAAAAAAAGGTCACTTACCCCTGATAGGGCAGATACTACTTTTTACAGCTTCCCTCAGTCCAAGGTATTTGTAAATCAGAGATGTGAAGACAGCTGTAGGACATGGCTCAATCTTTGAGAAATACCATTACACAGGCTTTTATCAACATGCTTTATTTGTGTGCATAGTTACAGACACTGAACGTGTATAAACTCACCCTGCAGGCTACTGTGACTAAGGGCACTAGCCAACACATGGCCTAAAAACAGGGGGACGGTGAACAAAAATAAAGGTTATTTGGTTTATCTACTGGACCAGCAAGAGCATTATGTGAATTGCTGTCCGTCTAACAGGTGACACCTACTTAACGTTATTTCTTAGCTGGGCACTGCACCTTTTTACCTTTGCCAAAGTGGTAGAGAATGCGTTAAATTTTCTGTTTTATACTCCATGAATCTGGAGTAACCTGGAGGCTCCTCTTGTGTTCAAAGCACACCAGTGTACATAACCCTACTATGCATCCATCAGAATTCAATGCCCAGGCAGGATATCAGAGACTGTTTGAAGTAGCATAGATCATAGCAGAGAGACTGTGCGTCATCCTACAGCTGGCTCCGGCTAGTAAAGTGATCCTGATTTTCCTGTCTTCTCTCTCTCGCTCTCTCTCTCTGAGGTATCCTTGTTTTTATTATGTCTGTAAATGTATTTTTAAATTAGATTTTTTTTTTTTTTTTTTATTATTATTATGTTTTGGTTATTTTATTTACTGGATACAACTCAGCCAATCATGTGTAAAGTTAATAAATGCCTGCATAGTACCGTTTTCTTATACATTCATTGATTACTAGATCAGGATGAAGTTCTGAAACAACTAAAATAAGTACACCATACTCAAATATTTACCTTCTATGCTGGTTATGTTTACAGTACTATTTCTAGCATCCACTTACCTATGCCTCCAAGATATAATCATAGTCTTCCTTCTTAAAACAATTAAAGGAACTCTGAGCACCATAATCACTACAGCACACCAAACCCTGCTTTGCTATCTAGTTATCAGCTGATGCTCCCAGCAAATGAGCTAAGCCCTGCACCACCAGGCGTCTAGCTCACTGTGAGATATGCATTTAATGGCATGCCTCATGACAGATATTGGGTAAGAAGTCAAACACTACTAGTAATGGTTTGACTACTTAACAGGGCACTCCTGGCACCATAACCACTACAGCTCACTGTAGTGGTTATGGTGCTTGGAGTATTCCTTTATACAAATCCTCTTGATTATGTAAACATGAAGATGCTTAAAAACAAGTGTTTCACAGCCATGCTCAGTCAGTGTAGATAGCAGGTTCCACTCAGTTTAATCCGATGTTAACGTTAGTAAACGTAAACCTGGAGAAAGATAGATTCAAAAGGAATTTGAGTCATTCAGCCCAACTGAAACATTTGTGCACCGATCTAGAATCCATCCTATTTATTGAATCTAAAAAAACTGACAAGGTAATCAACTTAAAAAATGTTTTAATTTCCAGGAATTCAAAGTGAAAAGCAAATTTTAGCCAAAAGAGCTGAACTGGAAAAATTCACCAAGTCGGCAATGTTTTTAGTTCAGCTTGAACGATTTGGGCCTAACATTTTAAATGTGCTTTGATTTCCCAACAAATCCCACTTTGGTGGATAATTGACAGGTACAATATGCACTAAAGCGGCACTGCGTTGTATCTGTAGATTTCCTCAGCCTCACTTTCTAAGACACTGGGAGGAGCTAGTGTCGATCTTGACACAGGGAATTAGCTCTGAATATGGAGGATCTCGTGGGATTCTCCATAGCACTCATTGCTGGACTCTCGCATGGGCGCAAGTGCAGCACTGACGTTGGCTCGTGGCGCTGAAGCAGACCCACCGAAGGAAGATGGCAGCTCTCGCGAGGGACAGGTTCAGGAAGATAAAACTCACCTTTACTGAATTCTGCAAAGCCCCCAGACAGGGAGAGCGCTGCTCTAAGTGGGGGTACAGCATCAAGTGGTGAAAAGGAGATCTCAACTTCTGTGGAATAAATACAGATTAGATGAGCACAACCGATGATGAATCAAATAATGGGCGACCACACAAACCCTTTCCTGACCACACCACCCAATGATTAACCCCTGGAAAATTCAGCCCCTTATCTGTACTAGGTGCTAAAATATGGAGGACGCTCCAGCTCCATCCACTCTAAGATCACAGCCCCATATAATCCAGCCATGATTTCCCAGCTATAGAGAATGAATATGCTCTAAACAGCAAGAAGGTACAATAGGTCTGCAAATAATACCAAGGAATAGCACATCAACAGGGTCATTCATGAAACGGAGTATTGTCAGAAATACAGAGTGAATTTCAATTTGAAGGACAAAATTAGCTAAACTAGATGCATAGCTGAATTGTTCCACTTTGGCTAGTTTGGTCTTAAATTTGAAATTCATATTGGATTCCTTACATTTCTCACTTAAAGGCTCACTATAGGGTCAGGAACACAAACCTGTATTCCTGACCCTATAGTGTTAAAACCACCATCTGGGCCCCTCATGCCTCCATAAATATAGCAAAATCGTACTGTATTCAAGCCTGATGCTGTAGATCTGCATGCTGTTTGTCTCAGAAAAACAAGCTGTCTGCTGACATCATCCAAAGTGGTGGCCTGATCCAATCACAGTGCTTCCCCATAGGATTGGCTGAGACAGACAAGGAGGCAGATCAGGGGCAGAGCCAGCATGATTCAAACACAGCCCTGGCCAATCAGCATCTCCTCATAGAGATGAATTGAATCAATGAATCTCTATTTGGAAAGTTCAGTGTCTGCATGCAGAGGGAGGAGACACTGAATGTTTGGATGAATTTTAGGCAGCCATGACCCAGGAAGGATCTCTAACAGCCATCTAAGGAGTGGCCAGTGAAGTAATCACTAGGCTGTAATGTAAACACTGCATTTTCTCTGAAAAGACAGCGTTTACAGCAAAAAGCCTGAAGGTAAGGATTCTACGCACCAGAACAAATTCAATAAGCTGTAGTTGTTCTGGTGACTATAGTGTCACTTTAAGTAAATAACCCTGTAAATTGCAAATTATCTGGAATTCATCAGGGGATTATAAAATTTAAGGCAAAAATAGCCGAGCAGATTTTCAATTTGGCAATTTTTGCCTACAGTTTGCAGTTCCTTGATTATTTCCAGATAATTCACAAGTTATTTCATATTTTTCTGGAAAATAATTCTTCCTCAAACTCTTCAGGGGAGCCTTTTACTATGTCTAACACCTAGACTGCTGGAGTAGAGATTATAGATGTATTAGTCCACAGATAGTTAAAATAATTTAGGGATGAAAAATGGACAGCTTAGATTAATAAATTAACCAGACTTGTGCAACATGTATTTGAGCTGCTTTGAGTCACATTTGATTTGCTCAGTATTTACCTGTGGAGTTTAACTCACTGACTCAGACTCCACAGGGAAAACCTCCCACAGATAGATTGCTTCATTTGGATGTGCATTGAAATAGGGTTGATTCGGATGAACCGGCTGAAACACATTTTGCACACGTGTAATGTTATGTTCCTTTCTACATAGGACATTGCAGCATTGGACGTTTGGCTATGAGGAAGCAAATCCCTACCCTGTAATTACTACATGACCGGCCTCAGAATCTACCTGCAAATATTGCTTTAACTTTTAACCCTGAATTGCTATTGATAGGTTTACATTTTTTGTCAACCAAAACAAATCCTTCGGATAAGGCACGTGTAATATTTTTACTTAATATTTAATACTTAAATGGATAATAAAAATTATATATATATATATATATATATATATATACACATACATACATACACACACACACACAAACTTAAATTTTCCCACTCGGGCATACCAACTTAACGTTAAAACCTTCTGTCATGCAAACAGTTAATAACCTTAACATCCAGCACTCAAACAGTTAACATTAGAACCCTCTGGAACAACAAATTGCGAATATTCTGTTCTGGCACGCAAACGGTTAAGCAAGTGTTTTCCCTCTGGCACACATGGTTAAAGATTTCACCCACCCCTCTGGCACAGCAATCAAAAACCTAGTATCTTTCTTCCCCCTCTGGCACAGAATGAGTTGATAAAACACTCCTGTCAGACCATGACACTAAAAGAAAGAAAAGTTTCTTACCTGAAACACACATGGGGTAGATGCTGTCTGAAACACTACAGGTACAAAAAATGATGGAAACCAAGTAAAACGTCCCCCTCCTCAACACCACATACCCACCCACCCTGGGATGCATTTCATTTATAGATCTGGTCTCCACCCACTTCCAATCAGAAATCAGTAACACATGGGCAAGCATTACATTAACTCTTTCCAAGCCACCCCGGATAATCATTAACCCTTTCCAGGCCGCCCCGGATAATCATTAACCCTTTTCAAGCCGCCCTGGATAATCATTAACTCTTTGCTGGCCGCTCCAATCAATCATTAACTCTTCCCAGGCAGCCCGGGATAATCAATCATTAACCCTTCCCTGGCCACATTATCCAATAGTTAACCTTTTTGTGGCTGCACTGGAAATCATTAACCGTTCCCTGCCTTAATAGATCAATCATTGCCCTTCTACCCAAATATTAACTCTTTCCTGGCAGCACCTGCCAATTAGTAACCATTTTTCAGGATTTGCCCCTTCCATTCTCCAGTCAATATCACCTGGAAGTGCTACCTCTGCATATAGCTTTGGCTGCAAGACTTGGTGACTCATTGATTAGTCCTGAATAAAAACTAATGATTGCTTTTTGGGGCAAAAGCTGTAAGAAAGAGTCTGGTGTTAGAAATAACAGCAATTATGGGTGAGGCCTGCAGTTATCTAGGTGAGAAATATCAATCAAGAAAAAAATCAGAGGAAAAGATTTTTTTAGAGTGAATGGGAGAGATCAGATAGGTGAAAGTCATCAATGGTGAACAATGGCTTGTGCTGGGTCTGCCCCTGATCTGCTTCCTTGATTATCTCAGCCAATCCAATTTCCTACGAGAAAGCACTGTGATTGGCTTTTGATCAACACTTCTGATGATGTCAGCAAATCAGAGACAGAGCCAGCAGCTGCAGTCTGAAATAGAAATAAGATTTTACTATATTTAGGGAGACAATCCAGGGGCTAGTTTAACACTATATAGAGTCATGAATACATGTTTGTGATCCTGGCCCAATAGTGTTCCTTTAATGGGAAGCGGTGAGCACCAAAACAACTTTAGCTCAATGAAGCAGTTTTGGTGTATAGATCATGCCACTGCAGTCTCAATGCTCAATTCTCCAAACTCTACCATTTAGAAGTTAAATCACCTTTGTTTATACAGCCCTAGTCACACCTTCCTTGGCTTCTTAAATACTTCATGATAAAATTCTACATTTTTAGCTTACTTTTTTTTCTCCTGCTCTATTAATTGCCTTCAGGAACCTCATGTGTAAAATTAAAGTTCAGTTAAAGCAGGAGGTAAGAGCTTCTAAAGTAAACACACTGTGCTGTGATAACTGATTGTGAGTGAGTCATAACAAGGAGAGGTGTGACTAGGGCTGCATAAACAACATGATTTAACTCCTAAATGGCAGAGAATTGAGCAGTAAGACTGCAGGGGCATGTTCTATACACCAAAACCACTTCATTAAACTAACATTGTATTGGTGCTTAGAGTCTTCCTTTACAGAGTTAACAAGCTCATTATGGAAGAAAAACAAAACAAAACAAAAAACAGCAATATTAATCATCACCACAGAGCTTAATTGCAATGATGAAACATGTTGATTACATATTTGAAATTTAGATGGCTTACATTTTTTTTTCTTTTTAGAAACGACTTAGGCACCCTAACTACCTCAACCAAATAAGTGGTTTTGGTGCCTGGAGTCCATAGTGGCCTGGACCTAATCGCTGCCAAATGGTTTACTTATCATTTAGTAGGGCTTCACGGTCTCTAATAGCTTTAGCAAGGTTCTGTCCCTGGTATCCCTATTTCTTCATTAAAGGCTGGGATTCAGGAGCAAGAATCTCTAATAGTGATCATTTACGCTGGCTTCATATTCACTTAAATCAATTGACGTGGTTATGGTTCCTACGGTGTTATAAAATTATAAGGAGGGAATGGATATAATATCATACAGGTTTAATTATTAAACCAGTTATTGTGGAGAGAATTTGCAAGGTTCGGACAAGCTTTTTGCAGATAATCCAAGATATTATTTAATTTCCGCTATTATGCCCTAAAACTGTGAATTTTCACAGTCAATTGGTGGTATAGTAAATAACTCCACAACGCGTTATCACTGGACGAAAACTCAAAAATAGTATACTGCGTACATGTTCTGCTCCAGTCATCTCTAGAATTAGAACTTGCCAAACCTTTAACCATTTATCAAACGTGAGTCACGTGTTCCTTGTTCTGGATCTACCTTTATAATTGACAAGATATAATGTGTGTGTGAATCAAACAAGTCTGAGGTGTGAGGTTAGTAACGGGGGCGGTTCTCTCGTTTCACACATTCAGGAGCTGGACCTGTTGATTTTCACACATTTCTACATAGTTCGCTGGCCAATGAAACGGCCTGGTTCAAATCTGACTCTGCCAACAGCCCAAAAAATCTAAGGGCACAAGGGCAAATGCTTCAATATAGCGAGGGGGTGCACTGAAGTGGTTATGGTGCTTGGAGCTGTTAAACAGAGCAATCTGTTAAAAATACAAACATACATTTCTAATGTTAGTTTTCTCTTCCCTGTTTACTGATTAAATGTCCCCCTTGTTAGCCTAGCTTAAAAAAAATAAATCTACTTACCTTCAATCATACAATGTGCCAATCTTTCTACAATCGTCCCTCTTCCATCATTACACAATAGAGCAGCATTGGGGGACAGCCGCACTGTACTAATCATCATCTCGTGAGAGATGTATTATACCAAAGTATGGGCGTAAAGACCCCAAACGATTTCAGGAGCATAATAGAAAGAACCTCTGGTACCTGTTTGGGAGTCCTTTGGGACAAATTTAACAATGCCTTTTCACAGTGTTTGAAAATGAGACACTACAGGCACAGAGTACACCAAAACCTATACAATTGTATTTGTTCGGATGGTTAAAGTGTCCCTTTAAGATATATATTCCAGGTGCATTACTTACATTTTTTTCGGGCACTGAATCTTCCAGAAAAATAAAGATCCTGAAATTTTAGTTTGCGCTCTACACAATCAATACACAAGATCCAGCGCACTCACCTATCCACTAAACAGCAACTTCAATGTTGAAAGATTTTATTTGTTTTTTTAAAAACACCTAATCTAGGCAAAAATAATGGGGGTTTAGTTACATTATATGATCATACATTGCATAAGCCTGCCACAACGTCAATGTACCCCATCTTTGGCAGGTCCTACACTAACAGCCTAATGTCTGCTCTTATGAGATTAACCTACTTGGGGAAAAAATTTTCCATCTGGGGCTCTCTGCAGTACAAGGCTAAATAGGGCCCTGGGATGAGGCACCTGTGACAGGGAGGGGTGCAAAACCAAGGAGTTGGCTAGACTCCCAAATATATATATAAAACAAGAGGGGGTTGGCTGCACTCACCTGAACATGCATAAATGGGGGTGCTGCTGGGGGCCAAATATTACAATACACAAGATCCAGCG